TCCCTTATCTTAAAGAAATATGGATGGAGTAAATAAGTAAGTAGGGAGGCATTCAATGAGACTCCACAGCTGAATGCTCTGTCCTGGGCAAACCCTTCTCTGCTACCTGAAGATACACTGATCAGGACTAGGAAACACTTGCTTTTCATCTAGAGAGGCACTGCAATAGCAGCTTTAGTTTTCTGGGGACTTTTTTTAGTTTTTTTTTTCTTTTTTCTGGTAAGGTTGGGAAGGCAATGCTACCTAAGTTATGTTATGTGTAGAGGTGTAAAATTATTATGTACAGGATATAGAGGTAACTTTATGAGGAGCTGAATATGCAACTCGGGTTATCATTGTGGTCACAGGAAAAAGAACAGGCTGTGTGTGACTTCAGCCATCCCTAGGGCCAGAGCAAGCAGGGGCAGCAGGCGTGAAGGAAAAAACCCCGTGTTCTGCTCCTCATTAGTCTGGCTAATGCAAGTGGCAAAACAGAGCTGAACCCTGTTGTCAGCTGTCCCGAGAAACCTTTCTCTGCTCACAGCTCATTGCTCAGAGCTACTTGGGAGTGGTCCATCCATGCATTTTCCCTAACACAGGCCTGAGAGAACACCTCCACGTTGGTCTTCATCTCTATTTTAAAGCAAAACAGTTATGGTTTGTATCGTTGTAGCCTGTAACAGAACACAGAAATCTGTGGTTTGGCTTTCACTCTCAGGTGTCAGTTTAAGAAGTTTTATCAGAATATTGTAGCCAATAAATCATTTATGAGTTTTCTGTCTTAACTGTTGGCTGTGACTGACACTTCTGTAAGCATCACTACTTTTTCAGATCCCTGCAGTTATCCAGAGATAAATTTCCCAAACTTACAATTCAAAGCCAAGGTGCCTGCAAGCCACATTTGCTTCATTCATAGTCCATTCACTAGCACACACAAAACTGTCCTCCTTACGATTCACGGGTTTTACTCGAAGCAAACTGGAATCTCCTTGACCCAGAGACACTGAAAATGTTTCTTAAAAAATAAAAGAGAGAAACATGAAAAAAATCCCCAGACAAAATCATATTATATAGATGTAGCTAGTGGAAAGACAGCACAAAACCAAATCAGGACTAATTTTGTATTTACAGCCAAAGTTCATATGGAAAGAACAGTAGATTGGGAATCAGAAGGTTCAGGTATTATTCCTGAATTAGTTCTGAGGATTGACTTTGTGTCTTTGATCCTGCTAATCTCTCAGAATATGCCAGTTTGAGGACAAATGAGGGTAATGGGTCCATAAAAGTACTTGAAGATCTACCAAGAACAGGTTGCATCTTAGTATAATGACCTTCTTTAGTGGATTTTTTATAACCAACCAGTAATACTCGAAGTGAGAGGGCCACATCCTACTTCTATTACCTGTGATGCAAAATGCCTGCAGCAGTCTGTGTAGCACAACCAGCAGCAGGGTGACCTGGGCCTGGCAATCACTTTAGTTTTTATGAAAATCAGCAGATACTGCCCATTTTCAGTGACTTTTCATTTTCTGTTTCATGTTGTTACTAGTGCAAGAAAATGAACAGACTTTCTCTAAATAGTGTAAGCATCTCCTCAGCCACCCCTGATGGATAAATTTTGGAAAAGGAGGTGTGAATACCTTCAGGCTTGCATGTTCCCCTGTGCAGAAACTTTGCTTTGGGTTGCTGGCACTCGTAGCTCTTCAGCTGACAGTAAGTACGGAAGTTCTTTCCACTGGTAGAACAAACTGCAGAGCCATTCTTTGGGCACTGGTAGGGAAGCTTGCACAGGCATTTTCCCTCCACACATCGTTCCCATGGGTGACAAAAAACTTTCTTACAGGACTTGTGGGTGTATTGGTTGCCCAAGCATTCTTCTATGAGGTAGTTGTCTTGCTCAGCTGGCTGGGCAGGCTTAACCTGTTGAAGATGGTTTTTTTCAGCATTAGATGCTGCATTCTGCAAGGTACACAAAAAATAATTAAAATAAAAGCAAGATTAGGGATTGCACCAAGAGTTTTCCAGATCCCTTCACTGATCTCAGCAAAGTGTCCATTTGTAAGCCTTTTCCTATCTAATCAAAAGTTCCTAAATACCATTTATAGAGTTGTCTTTGGCCACTTCGCCTTTCTCAGTTTCTCTGAACTCCTTTTTTCTTTTTTGGATTATTTACCTGGTGCAATCTTCAGTCTTACTGATCTCCCAAAAACTTTATACACATTACATTTCAAACATTAGCTGAAGTGCACAGCAGATTATAAACATTTCTAAAGGCACTGGTTTATAACACATCCCAGCAATGGGACTGTAAGCAGATTAAAACATAAAGGAATTTAAGCACCAGAAAAAGAAAAGAAAAAAAACAATTTTGGGGTCTTTTTCTAGGATTTGTTTTATTGGCCTGGTTGACTTTGGATTTAAATATCACATGTAAATATTTATGAAGTACTTACTAGCAAATGAATCTATAATTAATGATTTGTTTTGCAGAATCCACGTGACTACTCAAGTAACAAGTACCTCAAATACCTTAACGAATACCCAAAAGCAATTTGCAAATGAAGTACTCATCCTTATGAGCGTTTTTCCTGTGTCTTGCACAGCAGTGTGTTTGCAGTGTGGTGCTGGCCATCACTGGCCTGCAGGTACAGACTGATGGCCTCTGGGTGAGTGGCACCCGTGTTTGTGCAGCTCTCTGCTGGCCGAGTGCTTTTGCTTACTAAGATCTGTGGGTGGGATAAGTCTTTGAACATGAAAAATATATATGGATGGCCTCTGTGTAAAAACAGGAGAAAAACATTAGTCCTCAAATGTGATTTATCAGCTTTGACTGTTTCAACTGGATCAACAGAGCTGAAGTTTAAAGTTCTCGTGAAGAAATCCTGCCCACAGTAAAGTCAGGGAGGATGTAGCTGGGGCAGAATTCAATCCAATACCTCTCCTTTTCACGGCTCTATAATCTTATTAAATTCTTCCTGCTGTTCTTGGGTCAGTAGAATCCAACCTGTGAGCCACATCCGCCTTGGCACAGCTCCCATGTTGTGCTAGGTGTTCCTCCTCTAGGGGAACAGCAGGTGCTGATTTTTATCTCAGAACCTCCCTGAAAGGCTTGGATTGTGCTGAGTGCCCAGCCCAGATGGGCTTTCCTGGACACTTCTGCCCGGAGAAAATCCACAGGAAACCTTCTGGCAGCAGGAGAATACCATGGTGCCATATTACAAGACTGCAATCCCATTTCCCAGAAAAGGGAGGTGGGGAAAATTGCAGCACCTTTCTGTGGTCAGCCATGCTTGCAAATTTGGTTTAGGATAGGATCATGATTAAAATCTTTTCCACGAACCTGTTAGCATAAGCCCCAAGTAGAATCAAAGCATTAAAGAGAAATAGCAAATTTCAAACACCCAGGCTGGGCTAAAACAAATATATGAAGCACAAATACTATGAAAGGAACTTTTAAAGAAAAACAATTGGTTTTGCTTTTGTAACAATAAACTGTTTATTAAACGTTTAAAAAATACTGCTAATACAATAAAACATATCTTACCTCTGATCCACAAAGACAAAAGAGACACAAGAAAACCAAGCAAACTGGGAGCATTCGCATGATGAAATTTTATCTCTCTTCCTAGACTAATTGCTCTGGCTGGGATTCTTTTGAATGTCAGCTGTTAGATTTGGGTTTAATTTTTAACCATTAGAAAAATATTTTCAAGTGTGTTTAGAAATAAAGTACAGGAGCCTCAACTAGGAACCGATAAATCTGATCTCTTCAGAAGATCCTGCCTTAACTGGTTTTATCCTAAGTGGATAACAGATAACAGAAGTGAAGCCCTTGAAGTAAATGATTAAAAGTGTGAAAAACGCCAATCACTTGTTCTTAACATTTTTAAAAGTTTAATCGTAATGAAATGGTTGTAACAACAGTAACATAATTAGAGTAATAAAATTTGAACAATTGAGATTAGGACAACATGAGACAATAAAAACAAAGAGATACGGACATCTGGGTACCTTTTTCTGGGCAACACAAGCCCGAAGAAGGACACCTGTTAACAGAGGATTAACCCTTAGAAACAATCGCCTGTTGCATATTCATACACCTCATACATGATGTATGTATACAAATTCCATTCAAACACAGGATTCTGTCTGGTCAGTGTCAGCTTCTCCTCTTAATCCTAATTGTGTTTTCATGTCTGAGCGAGGTGGGAAGAAGTTAGTTTTCTGCTGGTAAGGGAGCAATAAATTCCCTTTCTCTGAAAGATTCAGGTGTCCTGTGGCTGCTGTCTGCTGCGAGTCCTCTCTTTAAAAAAAGTATCTTACATGGCACAGTTTCTATTTTAACATTACGTTATAACCTAAAACTGTGCTTAACACACTGCTTAAGAAAATTAACACAGCACAACTTTCTAACACAACACACTCAATGTTCACTTTAATCCTTGCGAAAAGCCGATCATAAAGCGCACGCTTTGCACAGAAGGAAGCGCTTCTTGGGACGACATTTGCCTTGCGCAGAGGACTCGCATCGATCCATCGCAGCGGCTGGCCGCCCGCAGCAGTTCCCGTGAGCGGGGTGACCGTGCCAGGCCGCTGTTGTCACCCCCGGTGTGTGTCCGTGTCCGTGTCCGTGTCCCTGGCCCTGTCCCTGTCCCTCGGCAGCGCGGGACAGCACCGGGACCGGCACGCCCTTCGCGACACTGCCGCCCGCCGCCCGCCCATGTTCACTTTAATCCTTGCGAAAAGCCGATCATAAAGCGCACGCTTTGCACAGAAGGAAGCGCTTCTTGGGACGACATTTGCCTTGCGCGGAGGACTCGCATCGATCCACCGCAGCGGCTGGCTGCCCGCAGCAGTGCCCGTGAGCGGGGTGACCGTGCCAGGCCGCTGTTGTCACCCCCGGTGTGTGTCCCTATCCCTATCCCTATCCCTGTCCCTGTCCCTCGGCAGCGCGGGACAGCACCGGGACCGGCACGCCCTTCGCGACACTGCCGCCCGCCGCCCGCCCTTTCATTTACGGCAGGCAGCCGCGTTTCCGGCAGCGCGGGTGTTCCCGGGCGGGCGCGGCGCGCACGTGCAGGTACGGCCCGCGCGGGAGGGGAGGGAGCGGCGGCCCCGTCCGTCCGTCCGTCCGTCCGTCCGTCCGTCTGTCTGGCCGTCCGTCTGTCCGCCCGTCATCCCTCAGGGAATGGCCCGGCAGCCGGGGTCCCCCCGCACTGCGTGCAATCTGCGTACCCAGGGCTCTGTGGCGCTGAGCCCGAGCAGTGCGGCCTCCCGGGGGAACCTCGGAGGTTTAACGGGGCCGAGGGGAAGGGTCGGGACGGCCCCTGGTACCAGCACGGGCTGGGCGGGATGGATAGAGGGAGGGCAGCCCTGCCGAGAGGGACCGGGGGTGCTGGTGGGTGACAGGACGGACATGACCCAGCAATGTGCACTCACAGCCCAGAGAGCCAAACCTGAGCCACCAGAGCAGTGTGGGCAGCAGGGGAGGGAGGGGATTCTGCTCCTCTGCTCTGCTCTGCCCTGGTGAGACCCCACCTGCAGGGCTGCATCAGCTCTGGGGGGCCCAGCACAGAACAGACGTGGAGTTTTTGGAGCAGATCCAGAGGAGGCCACGAAGGTGGTCACAGGGCTGGAGCACCTCTCCTCTGCAGTCCGGCTGAGAGTGGGGATTGTTCAGCCTGGAGAAGAGAAGGCTCTGGGGAGATTTTACTGCAGCCTTCCAGTGCCTGAAGGAGGCTACAGCAGAGCTGGAGAGGGACTTTTCCCAAGGGCATGCAGGGATGGAATAAGGGAAGATAGTTTTAATCTGGAAGAGGGTGGGTTGAGATAGGATATTAGGAAGAAGTTCTTTACTGTGAGGTGGTGAGGCACTGGAACAGGCTGTCTGTGGAAGCTGTGGATGCCCCATCCCAGGGAGTGATGGGCCCTGAGCAGCCTGTGGAAGGTGTCCCTGCACACAGCAGCAGGGTTGGAAGAAGCCCAGCACAGAACAGACGTGGAGTTTTTGGAGCAGATCCAGAGGAGGCCACGAAGGTGGTCACAGGGCTGGAGCACCTCTCCTCTGCAGTCCGGCTGAGAGTGGGGATTGTTCAGCCTGGAGAAGAGAAGGCTCTGGGGAGATTTTACTGCAGCCTTCCAGTGCCTGAAGGAGGCTACAGCAGAGCTGGAGAGGGACTTTTCCCAAGGGCATGCAGGGATGGAATACGGGAAGATAGTTTTAATCTGAAAGAGGGTGGGTTGAGATAGGATATTAGGAAGAAGTTCTTTACTGTGAGGTGGTGAGGCACTGGAACAGGCTGTCTGTGGAAGCTGTGGATGCCCCATCCCAGGGAGTGATGGGCACTGAGCAGCCTGTGGAAGGTGTCCCTGCACACAGCAGAGGGGTTGGAACAAGCTAACCCTTCCAACCCAAACTATTCAACTATTCCATGATCTTCTCACTTTGTGCCACTTGTGGGGCTGGGGACTGCCATCAGATATGGCATCTTTGTAGAGATGGGTGAAAGATGACTAGCTATCACTGCTAGTCACTTTTTGCAGTTGGATGTTGCAGTGGATGACATCTGAGGTGCAAGCTTGGATTTTCATCAGCCAGCATGTTTCTGGTGAGGATTGGAAAGGACGAACCGTTAAATTAACAAACCAGGCTGACAGGAGACCGCAGTTTGTGCAGCAAATCAAGTGTGACACATACATCTTTATGATGTCTTAAATAACTGATTTTCTTGTTCCCAATGCAGGAAACAGTAGAGAATGTCTTTTTGTGGGAGAGGAGGTGGAGGAGGAAGAGGAGGTGGCTTTAACCGAGGAGGAGGTGGCGGTGACAGAGGTGGCTTCAACCGCGGCGGGCGCGGTGGCTTCGGACGGGGAGGTGGAAGAGGAGGCTTCAACAGAGGAGGATATGACCAGGGCCCTCCAGAAAGGGTAGTTTGTAAGTTACATGGAGAAACTTCATTTCTTGTGTTGAGATTGTCTGCTCCAGCTCTTTAGCTTGTGTGTTCTTTATTTCAGTGTTGGGGGAGTTCATGCATCCCTGCGAAGATGACATAGTTTGTAAATGTAAAACAGAAGAAAACAAGGTGCCTTATTTCAATGCCCCAGTGTACCTGGATAATAAGGAGCAGATTGGCAAAGTGGATGAAATATTTGGACAGCTGAGAGACTTTGTATCCTTCAAAAAATGTGTGACTTGCAATATTTGTTTTTTAAAAATTGATTGGATATGAAATGGGATTTCTCTAGGATTTTAAAATAGTTCAGGCTTTGCTTACCAGTTATAAGTGAGTCTTGTTGCAACTGTAGGTGCTTCATTCACATTAAGTGCCCATCTTAGAGCTTTTGTGATATAATAGAGTACTTGAAGTCAGTCAGAGGTTTTCACTCTTTAGCAGTACTGATGCTGTGTTTTGGATCCATGGTGGTTCAAGTTGTTACTTTTTATGGCTAACTGACCAAATTTTCTGCTGTAGGTTACTAAGCCATGACAGAGTTGGCTCAAGGGCCTTGGGGTTTTTTTGTGGGTTAGGGGACCTTGCTCATGCTCCAGCACATTAATTATAAAGTGAGTTTATACTAAGATGTCCTGTGGCTCATTGTCCAGTTTATTACTTTACCTGCCCATAAAAATGGGCATATCTCTGCTATCAGAGATATCAGGACATCGCTGGCAGAGCCAGCCTGACACAGAGACATGGGGTACATTTTGTGGTCACTGCCAGGTGGAGAGAATCCCTGACAAAAGCAGGATAGCTGGGGGAGTAACCCAGTTAAGACTCAGTTGGTTGAGCACCAGTCACTAGCTATGTGCATTTTCCTCTCCCACATTAAATGTGAAGTAAAATGTGCAGGTTTAAATTAATTGCAATTGTGTTGAAATTTAGCTGAATGTATAAAATACTTAGAAAATGTCTGAAGGTTCCTTCTATATACTGATCAAAATCACAGTTTTGCATGTTTTATTACTGCAATGCTCCTTAAGGAAACCAACAGTATTTTTCAGTGAAACTCTCTGAGAACATGAAAGCCTCTTCATTTAAAAAACTGCAAAAGGTAAGTCAATCTCATTAACAGAATTTTACTGAATGTCATCAGTTAGCTAAGTCTCATTTGTCAGCAGATAATAAAAGCTTTATTAAGTTTTTAACAACTTTAAAAGCAGATTGTCCTATGTAAAAATAGGAATTAAATTCCTCATCCTTTCCAGTTTTGTGTTTGCCACATTATTCCCTCTCCCTGCCCCACGAGAAAAGATGCAACAAAATCACACAAATATCACCTATATTTTAGCAGATTTTTAATTCTGGGATTTACTTCTTGTGTGCTTCTCTGGCTTTTTGCAGAGGACAGTTTGGCATAATGGGATAAGATGAACTTGTGGATATTTGTAAAGAAAGATATTAATATGCTTTTCAGTCTTGGTATTTTGAAAGCCTAATGGAATTCTCTTCCTGCAGTTTTACATTGATCCAGCAAAGCTGCTGCCTCTTCAGAGATTTTTGCCAAGGCCCCCTGGAGAAAAAGGTGCTCCCAGAGGAGGTGGTAGAGGAGGACGTGGTGGTGGACGTGGGGGAGGAAGAGGTGGTGGTAGAGGTAAGATCACAAGAATCTTAAAGCTGCAGAATGTTGGAGTTATTTGAGATGCCGTGGGCTGCTTTGGTCATTTGTTCTGTGGAGTATTTGTGTTTTGTTTTCTGAAGCTGCTGGTGAGTACTTGAATATCAACAGCTGTATTGCAAATAAAAATGTTTCTGCTTGACTTTATAGAAAAGGCAGTGATGCCTTTCAGGTGGTGAGACTGGCTAAATAAAAGCTCCAAAGCATAGGGAGGAGAGAATACTGATTTATAACAAAGACAGAAAGTTTTTTGATCATCACCTGTGATGTACTCTTCAATTAAAGCTGAAGTTTATTTTTTCTTACACCACAGTTTCTTGTCTCTTTTCCATACCCTGCCCCTTTGCAGCAAGGCATGAGTGTTTCAAAGTGGTTTGCTTTGTGTGTTTTAATGTTGAGTTGTAATAATAGATAATAATTACTAATAGTTATAATGAATTACTGGTTAATATATGTAATTTATGTTTTGCTCTTGTGAAGGTAATTGTCAAGTCTTTAGTATTTCAGACATGGTATATCAGATATTAAGCAATACCTAAAATGCTCCAGATGGTCCCTAGAACAAACAGGGTACTAGTAATTGACCTGGTAACTGTCTGGCAATTGACAGTTTCTGCTTTTTTTGTTGTTTGTTTCATTTCATAAGCTGTCTATGAAATAAATTCTTGTGCATAACCAAAAATTTACGTGCTCCTCAAAGGGTAATTTCTTTTTTTTAGGCGGATTTGGAGGAGGCAGAGGTGGAGGAAGAGGAGGAGGATTCAGAGGAGGTAGAGGCGGAGGAGGAGGAGGATTCAGAGGAGGAAGAGGTGGTGGAGGAGGCTTTCGGGGTGAGTGTGGGGTTTTTACCTCTCAGTAATAAGAATAGCTTCTAAAGAAAAGCTTGTAAATATTAAAAAGCTTATAAAAATTAAAATAATTTAAAGTTTGTAAATATTAAACAGAATGTTGTGATTTTTAATGTCTTATAGATGTTTACAGTTCTGTGCAAGAGATTTCTGTACGTCCTGGTAGTTTAAACTGAAGCACAGTACTCTGCATTTTTTTATGCATGTATAAAACCATGTTAGTTTTTTACATTTTATCAACTCATTCAAGGTTATCTATAGAATTTGCTTGAAGCACAACTAAGATAAGAATTGTTTGATATATTTTTCTTTTCTCTTAAAATAGGAAGAGGACATTAAAAATGGACCCATGAGTATCTCCTCATTGTCTTACCGTGTCATCTGCAGAAGTGAAGAACCGTGAAACATTTTTGTAAAGAACCCTGAAAATCTTTTTATAAAGAACTTGAATCTACAAATTACAATTATTTTTACACTTCATGACTGTTGATGGACACACGAGGAGAGTGTAGCCCCAGGTGAAGAGCTGAAGACTGCTCAGAACATCTGTAAACTTTTCTGAGCCACGGTTCGATGTTATTCTTAAACTGTTTGTTTCTGACAAGCAGTGCAGTCAGTGCTTAACTCCATGTTGGAGTTGGGAGTAAACAATCAGCTGAAATGGGTTTTCAAAAGACCCTACATGTTCACTGCATGCAGATACTTCATGTGAACCTGTGCATGACTGATCCCTGGTTCTCATCCTCCTTTTATATCAAATCTTCTGGGCTACTCTAAAATGGACGTGCTGTTTAAACAGCCTTTGTGAACCTTTTTTGATAAACTAAATTTCAAACTTCTGTGTTGATAATTTCTAAATGCATAATAATATATAAGAGAGAAGACAGCAGAGTACATTTTGTGAATTTTTCTGTATAAATATTAATGAAAGCCAAAGGCATTAAGACCTAGTCCTCTTAGAAGGTGCTGTCTAATGAACAAGACAAGATTAATACTATACTTCAGTCATCTAATGGTATCTAATTACACTGATACTAAAATGCTCAGGGTTTTTTATTGGCCCTGCATCTCCCCCTTAGCCTGTTTCTCTTGAGGTTTTGATGTCCTGGTACTGCACCTCTGTGGTGCTCTGGGTTTGTGTCGAGCTGAGATTAAATAGCTGATCATAGGGCTCCTCTGCACACAATGCTTTCAGTTATGTCTTGCTTAGAAAGACATAACAAAGTCTTCATGAGTCTTTGGTCTCTAAATGGATTCATAATGAGGGTTGTTGGAAAGAGAGTGACTGTGTCTTCCTAAGGGTGGAGGAGACCAGGGTGCCTCTCTGCTCTGGAACTTTGGAAATAAAATAGGTGAAAATAGAACTCCCTGGATTTCTTTCAACTGGAGCCAGGAGTCTGTTCACAGACTCTCCTACAAAGTAGTTTTGAAAAGGGGTCTGTAGAATAATGTATGTGCAAGTATTCTGAACATCTTTTTCAGTGTGAAAAATGTTCCTTTCAGAATTGATTCACTGTTAACACTTTTTACTTGATTAATGCAGTAACAGGCAGTTTAATTATGTTACCTTCCTGCTTAACAAAGGCAGCAGGTAATTTTTCAGTACCAGGATTGGACACTTACTGCATGTTTTAACAAATGTGGCCATTACTTTTAATAATGTTGAACAAAACTTGAAAGAGTAGAAAAACAAATAGTAAAGAATTCATTTAAATGTGAATAGATGCTGCAAAGGATAATAAAAATGTTCTTCAGATTAAAAAAACAAACCACAGAATACTGAAGTTCTGCTAGACCTGCTTTTGTGAGAAGAAGCTGAGTCTACTCTTAAACCCAGGAAATGAGGGATTCCAAGTTTTCTACCTGGTATTGCTACAAGCCTAGCTTTAGCCAGGTCAGTTAAATCCAGAACTGAGAATTATTAGGCTTTTGTTGCTGTGCATTGCTAAGCCTAAGTGTCTCCGGGCTTTGACTTAAGGCTTTGCAAAATTGCCTTTTTTCTAAATTTGTTGCAAGTAATTGCATTTTGGGCATTTCACATTGCAGCTGAACAATGCCAACCAATGCACCTGCAGTGTCAGTACTGTCATGTTTGCAGCTGGCTCCTCTGCTGTGCTGGGTTTATTCACTGAGGCTTCAGTAGTGGGCAGCTGGCTCAGATACTCCTTCCTTATTGTTCTGACTTTGAAAGACTGACGTAACACAGTCCTCACTCTTAGACCCAGATCCTTGCTGCTCTTTGCTATTCTTTAGGGACATGCTTTTTGCCAGGGTGTCAGAAGGCTCCTGCTGTGACCTGTGGAGTGCAGGGTGTGGCAGGCGGTGTTTGGCTGCAGTGTGGCCTGGCAGCCCAGGAGCAGGCGCAGGCAGGAGAATGTGCTGGCTCTCTCGGCAGGTGGAGCAGTGAGTCAGCCTCAGGCGCTGCAAGGGCAAAGTAAAAGCTTTGAACTCTGTGCAGAGGGGCTAAACAGCAATATCCATTGCAGCTCTGGAGGAAAGATTGGCCTCTTGGATAGAGGGAAGGGAGTATTATGTGTACAAACAATGCTGTTTGGATTTTGTGCAAATGTCCAGAGAAATCCTAAATCTCCACGGAGGTTGTATGATGTTCTTAGGATGGAAGAACATACGAGGAACCTGTCTGGTTGTGTTTGCCATATGATGGTGCCTTTTTTTCATTCTCCATTCTGGGGAAGGGGGTTATTTGCAAGGCACATTTAAGTTCTGTGTTGTCTTCTCTGTGCTATGCTGTGACCCTGCCCTCCTGATATAAGTAAGGTGCTAACAGTAACAGATTAAAATTCAGTCTCAAAAAAATGATGTCTTGTCTGCAGTGTAATGCTGTAATGAACTAAGAAGTTCTCTAATTTTTTATGACACCTTTCTCTCAGTCTTGAACTTCAAATTCTAGCTGTGAGTCTATCACAGTGCTCCTGCACTTAGTAAGTGAAATGTTCTGGTTTTATTTATGTAATTACAGATATGCTGTGCTGCTGCTGAAGAGGATAGGAGAGGGGCTCACAGGTGCTGTGACAGAAGTAGGTGTGTGGGTAGAAATGGCAAATTTCAAGTAGTTGTAGTGTCTGGGGAAGAAGAGTCAGAGTGCAATGTGAAGTGAGAGGAGTGGGGGTAAGGTGTTCCCTGTATTTATATTCCCCTTTTTAGTAGCCTTTGGAGCACATAGGTGGACTGTCTAAATAGCTTTTCATTTGCCACCTGCGCCAGCAGCACAAGGGGGGTTGGTGTCCTGCAAATTCCTTTGAAGCTCAGATGGTTTTCAGAGCAGCTCAGGACACAGCAGTAGTGGTGTCTCTTACCTGTGTCCTCCTCCACTCCCATGGCAGCGTTTGATCTGGGTATAGGGTCTGACTTTGAGCTGATTTTGAAACTGACACCTGGTGCAGCACCAGATTGATTGCTTACAAGTATTTGGAAGACCTGGACCCTTTTGTCCATGTCACAGCAAACTTTTGGGGTTGTTTTTTTTTCTATTTGGGGTCTAAATCCTTAAACAGAGGGTAATACATGGCAGTGTATTGTAAGGCTTAAGTTGTTACCTAATGAGAATGGCTTTAGTGGCCCTGCATTCCTTGCAGAGTTGTTTCTTTTCCTTGTTGTTTTCTGCAGATGCTGGGATAGGATGGCTCAATGTAGTTCATAGATTTGCTACGTTTAGATTTGCTATTTATAGAAACTTGATGAAGTGCAGAAAATAATTGGGATATTTAATGTAAATCTGCAACACTGGCAGTTGTAGAACAGGAAGAATTTTCTCTGGCACTGACTTGTACATGTCAATGTTTGCCTGAAGAAATGCTGGACTGTTGCACATAGATTGGTGCAAAGTAATTTGCAGTTGTATAAAGCATTGTCTTGGCAAGAAAGAGTATGGTTTATTTAAAAAAAAATTATAGCTATTGTGTGATGTATGGCAAATAAAAATCTTAGTGGGGTCTTTCAGGGCTGTCAGCTGAAGATCTCTGTAGAGTGAAATTTTTCTAACAGTTTAAGTCTAGTAAAAATCTTTGTGAATGAGGAGAAAGAGGCAAGTTATTAATTTGTTTTCCTTGGGAAAACAAATTTTCTTTGTTTTCCATTTGCATCCCTTTGGGAAAGGGTTAAAGGGACGCTTTGCCTTAGAGGGCCCTCCAGCGGTGGAGGGCATAGGAAACATGGGAGGGGTTGGATTTGGGATGTATTTGTAGCAGGGTTACTGGAAATTTGGGTTGGTTTTGGTTTCCAATTTATTTATTTTTAATGCAAAAGTTAAGTTTCTCTACTCACATCGTTCATGCATTGATATATTTTACACGTAACTGAAAGTCGCTTGCTAAAACTCACATTGCATTGTGCCACATATATATAGAGATACGTGCAAATGGAAGAATGGATTTTAATAGAAGTTACATTTTGCTACTGATCTGGGACAGGCGGAAAGGAAAAGCATCACTTTATAAGGTGCCCCTCTGACACCTGTAATGCTATGTTATTGAAGGATAAAAACAGCCTGAGGTTTTGGATTTTATCTTCTTATACCAGTATTAATAAGCAATGTGGTAAGACATATTTTATCTGGCTTAGAAGCTGTGGATTATTTTTATACTTCAATATTTCCTGTTTTATCTTTTTGACTTTATTTTATGAACTAGAGTGTTGCAGAAAAAGAATACTTTTGATGATGTCTGCCTTTAGTTTTGGCTTTTCTCTGTCAATTTTACTTGCTGTAAAATTAGTCAAGTTTGAGAAGAGACAGAAACAATTGGTACATAGGAGGGACTGCATGTGTTAGAAAGTTGTATTTAAATCAAGTATAAAATTTATTTTGTTAATTGCTACTGTACATTTGGAATCCTATCTGAGGAAAAATAGTAATGGTTTGCTTTTTTGAGGTATTCAACATAGCAAACTCTGACTTCTGTGGAAGCTGCAAGATCTGAGATGCTTTTGAAAATCTTGCCAAAGTGTCAGAGGAGGAAAGCAAAGATATCAAATTATTGCCATGCCAAGTCTTTCAGGGCAGGACAGTGTTGCACGAGGAAAGAGGCTTCATTGCCAAACAGATCATCTTTCCTTTCAGAGCCCTCCCACCCTGTTTCTGCCTAATCCTCTTCTGACAGGAAAAATACTGTAATATACAAATACCCAGAGAGCTGTGAGTGCAGATGTGGGGCATTAAAGGAAACATTTGCTCACAGGACTGTGATGTGAGATCATGTGTAGTAATGATGATTAAATGCTGTGACTGCACAAGTTTATATAAAAATTTTCTTACCTTTATGTTCAAAAGAAATATGCAGGATGTTTGTTTTGCAGAACTAAGGAGTGGGAGGGAACGCTCTGTGAGTATTTCACAGGTGAGAGAAGAAAGAGCTCTTCAGGTGTACTTTCTGTAGGGGGACTATTCCTGTGTCACTGCACCCTCACTGCTGCTCAGAAGGCACTGCCCTCGCCTGGGACCTGCTTGACCTGCCTGTGAACCACATACAGCTGAAGAACCACTGGTGCTCATCTTTGTCACTTGTCACTTTTACACACACTATGAATACTGACTGAAGGCAAAAACTGTATGAAGCAGAGCTGAGGGGGAACAGCTGCTTTCTGATACTCTAAGTCCTTTGGGCAAGGACTTATTGCAGCTCTTATTTATGCAGGGTTTTTTAAAGAGTCTTTGCTTTGGTGTGTTGGTACCTCATAGTTGAAGGGAATGAGCTTTTGCTGCTCAGATCTTTGAAAAGTGCCCACTAAGATGCTTTGAAAAATTTGCCCAAAGTAAGCTTAATGTGTTTAAGGGAGGGAGGCATATTCAACAATCATTTTCTATAGACCAGGCTGTTTTAGAAATGTAGCAGCTGAGTTTTCTGAAAGTCATGCTTCACTTAGGAAAATACTGG